TAATATTATTATATATATATATATATATATATATATATATATATATAAAAACATGTTTGTAGTCAATTTTTTATATACATTGCATACTATTTTCTTTATTTTATTATTCATTAAATATATAATTTAATAAAAATTATTTTACTTATTCTGATTTTTATTTTAGAAAGTATTAAGCAATCCAAAACATCATCTTTCTAAAGGTTATTTATATGATTCTTTAAAACCTTGGTTGGGAACTGGATTATTAATTAGTGACGGTATTGTAAACAATTTTTAATTCTAGCAGACAAAGAGTTTTAAATAAAATTTGTATAAAAAATTACATATATAAGATTTATATATATTTTACATAAAAATACAGTTAGTAATTAATAATATAATAAAATAGATATAAATATATATTTAATATTATTAGTATTTTTACATTTGGATACAAGATATTATAATTATTTTTATCTCATTAATAATAAGATGCTAAAATATAATACAAGTAAAAAAAATTAACAAATTATTGCAAAACTAAAAGTATCGTTACTTTAAGATAAAAAAATAGACATATATACATATAATCATTAAAAATTCATTAAAAAAACTATTATTTTGTAACTTTCAATAAATATTATTTCTGTGATATCAAATGTATTAACGAAATTGAACAAAGTTTAAAAAACAAATTTTAACACTAAAAATTAACAAACATGTTATCTTATTTCTGTTATAGGACAAAAATGGCACTCAAGGCGAAAGATATTAACACCTACGTTTCATTTTAATATATTAAAACAATTTATTGAAATACTGATTGAGGAAGGAAATCATATAACACAATCATTGAGAAATGTTAAAGACTCGACTGTCGATAACTTAGTGTCCTTTGTCAGTCATCACACGTTAAATGCAATATGCGGTAAATTAATATGGGTGTCCCAGACTTACCGTGACACCCGTTAATGGTAGATTCCTGAGATCCTGAGATTCCTGAGATCATTTTGAGATGAAAAGTTTAATATAAAAATGTCATGGTTACAATAGTTTTCAATTTATAAGGGTTTAAATTTAACTAATCAACTAACAAACTACAACGCGAAACATGGTACTTCCTCGACAAGTAGGACGAGTAGATCTTGGTTGTTAAAGTCTTTAATATGAAATAAATTCAATTAATTATATTATAATAATATATATAATAATATATTATAATAAATTCAATTAATTAATTATATTATCAACTACGTGTTACTTGGATTTATCAGACTTTCAACGTAGTGGCTCTTTACTAATTCGATGATTAATATTATTGATATCGATTAAAATCTTTTTCATTATCCCCCCTCCCCACTGAAAATATATTGCGAAAAATATCATCTCAGTCAGGGATTGAATCTGAATCGCCTGCTTTCCGGGCAGACGTCTTATCCACTAAATCACTGAGGCCATGGTAATATTTATAGCAATATTCAAATAAGTCAAACATCTTTTTCAGTCGACGTGCGAATAAACAATACACAGATATAGGCCGAGTACATGTTAACTAACAAACTACAATGCACAATATGACATAAGTCAGACTTATTTGAATTACTTATCAATAGCGATCGAATTATTATAGAGTCACTACGTTGAAAGTCTGCTAAACCAAAAAACTGCAAATGCCCATCTTATTCCTTCGACTACCGAGGCATGTGATGATATTTATCGCAAATAACGTATTTAGAATAATACGTCAACAATACAATGATACATATATATACGTATATTACAATATACATATACAATATATATATATATATATATACATGTATTCTTTCGAATCCCCACGACCGGTACTCCAGAGAGATGATGGTCTTATTCTCTCGATGGATGCAGGTCGGACAATTAGTAATATAATTAATTGAATTTATTTTATATTAAAGATTTTAGCAATCAAGGTCCTGCTTGCCGAGGAAATGCCATGTTTCGCATTGTAGTTTATTAGTTAACATGTACTCGATCTATATCTATGTATTATTTGACTAATCAAATTGTCTAAAATTCTCGCACTCAGGCACGGAACATTGCACAATAGTAAAGGTATTTTCAAATATTAAGTCTATTCTGCGAATTGATGTAATTCCACGTTTATTGTTGCAATTGTTTCCTATTTTTACCTTTTTATGCGTGTGCTGTTAATTAATTACGGAAATAATAACAGCATAATAAAAAATGGATGGAAATGCAATACGCATCGAATTGTCATAGCTGTCACATGTAATATGTCATAATTTTTTTCTATATTTTCTTTTTGTATCGATTATTCTCTATTATTATAATTATTGTGTTAAAGTACTATTTGTTATCGTTGATTTAATGGAATATCTTCTATCAAATTTATAAAATTGTCCCTTAAAAAATTT